GGGGGAATTTTCTTTTGGCCATTTCCAGCTGACTGCAAGTGCTTCTCCATGGSATGCAGCACACTACGGAATATCATCCTAAAGGTAGTGTAACAGGAAAGTTAACTAACGCGTGTTTGGGTGTGGGAGCTGCAGGATGACGCTTGATCCCATCACGTCACGTGGTGGCATGTTGGAGAGCTGCATTTCCACAGCCTGCACATGCTGCCTGTGGTGGGACCTTGCAGCGTCAGAGGAGGTATCTCGTGAGCAACCCTCCCTTGCAGAGCCACACACACTGTGGCTGCTCATTCCTGGAGAAGCATGGATGTTTTCCTCAGGATTGGACTTCAGCCATAGGTTGGCTTTTGTTCAGTGCAGCCACCGAGCTCTGCTAGTGAGCAAGGACCCCTAAAGCCGGAAGCCCCTTAATGCTGGGGGACAATGTGGTGGCCTGGGAAGACTCCTAGATAATGCAGCCAGTAGCCACCCCAAAATCGAAAAATTAATATTTGCAATTTCTAAGCCTTCAGCTAAATAGTGACTCTGAGTCCTTTAAAGAAACACCACTGGGGTTGTCAAAGTTTTGACAAATTATGGGCAGCCTGCAAAGCAATAGAAAGTATGAAGAAAGGTCAAATTTAGGAGGCCTGTTTAGTCAGAGGGAGAGCCGAGGCACCCTTTTATGTGGGATAGGGTCTGGGGGGAGGCRTAATAAACAGCATTTGGGTCAAAGGAAGTTAATCCTTTCATTAGGAACAGGTCAGAGCCTGGCCAGGTGAATTTTCTTTTTTTAATCTCTTACCACTCTAAAAGCCTCTGCACTAGGCAAAATGATTTGCTCCTGGATGTACCACTCAGGCACAGTTCTTTATTTATCCATTTTATCTTCTTTTACTGATATATTTTTGAAGCATGGCTGATCTTGTCTGTGCCCCAACTTTGCCCTGTGAAATCGTTTCATTCAATCCTTGTCACTCTTTTTCCTCTCCTGATCTGAACTGTATCAGAACTGTAGGTTGGTATAAGATAATCCACTGTGCTGAGTTAAAGAATATTCCAAGTAATGCTTTGATATAGGAAAGAGAAATTTTATGTCATTGGAGAACACAGGAAAAGAATTGTGCCACAAGCCTTGGATGTTTAAGCAAGTATCAGTAAGTCAAAACTATGTCCAGATCTAAAGACTGGCTGCAAGCTACTTAACAGGAATTTATTAAAATGACAGCTACAATTCTACCTATCACAAAATGTGAAAAAAAGAATCTGTTCCCTAATTACAGCCATAGTCTTCCCTTATTCTGTGCAGGCAATCAAGGGTGAAAAAAATGCCCTCAGAGGATGCTGCAAATTTCTGCAAAGCAAAGGCAGGTCTGGAAATGAACAGTGACAAGGTAACCCTTGCAAAGCTTGTCAAGAGAAAACATGGCCAAGTGTGTGAGCGTGCTCGAACCAGAATGACATCCTGAATCTGGGAAGCTCCTGACTGTCTTGTGGTGTTTTTGTGGGACAGAGGGAATGGGGAACATTCCTAATGGGCTGTGTGGGAGCAGGGCAGTGGGCATGAGCCCACTCCTCACCAGAGAGGATGGGAAAAGATGGGATACTCGRAGTGTTGCTGGTTACTCTTAGCAGAATGGACATGGAGCTTCAGAGCCAGTTACCACTCGCCTGGCAAACTCCCATGGAGCAAACTTTCGTGCTCCCTGGGAGCCCCAAGCCAAGTGCAAAGCAGGAAACCCAAGGACTTGCAGCTCTGAGGCCAGCCATTAACTGCTTAAGTTTATGTCATGTCTGTAGAGCATCTTTCAGTGCAAGGCGGAGATTCTTGAGCTAACAACAAATGGACTAACTCTGAAATCTGAAGCATAAGAATTACAGCACAACATTTCATGACATTAATGTACCATTGCTGTGAAAAGCAAGTGCCTACTAAGACATTTAACACAGTGTCATACAAATCCATATTTAGATATTGATATATTATACCTCCTATGTCCAGGACTGTCCAGAGTCATCTAGGGAGTCACATCAGGATGCTCAAGCTTTATCCAGTCTGGTCTTGAAAACCTCTCAAGATGGAGTCAGGCTACATAACCTTCCCGAGCGGCCTGAGGTTTGACTGACCTCACAGGGGAAAAAAACTTCTCCACACATGCAGTCTGAACCTCTTCTTTCAGCTTATGACCACTGCCTCTCACCTCCCACCACACACTCCCACTGTGTCCTCTGGATGCCCTCTCTGTAGACACAGGTAGGCTGCTGTCAGGTCCCCCCAAAGCCATCTTGTCTCCACACTGAAGAGGCCCTGGTTCCTCAGCCTCTCCTTATAGGGACAGGGCTCCAGCCCTGACCGTTGTGGTGGTCCTCCACTGAACTCGCTTCAGTTTATTGGTACCTTTCTTACATTGAGGAGGTCGTATTTTATAGGGGGATAAGTGCTTCTCCTCAATATATCTGTCATGATGCTGTTAATATAGCACAAATTAGTCTGAGCAAATAAATATTAGGTAGAGAGGACCCTCCCCTTAAAATCCAAGTGATCAATGATTTTTAACTTGTTTTTATTACTGATGAGAAAGACTGATTTTCACCTTTTTTTTTTTCACTACATTTTTGGATCCGAATCTATATGGAAGAATCTCTTTTGCTATGTTACTGTCTACAACAAATTGAACATTTTTGGTCCTTTGCTGTTTTTCTAAACTTAAGATTTGAGAGCTCTTTGAGAGATTTGTAATTCAATACAGTTATTATTTTAATAAATTCACTTATTTCCTCAGCAGACTGTCATTTTCATTGGAGGTATCCAACTGAAGTTCAACAGTGGCTACCTATGTACTTGCTTGGGGRCAGAAATGGTGTCACCATCACAACAGTATGTTGGAGGGTAGGAGATGAAGTAGGATCTTGAGCCTGGCCCCATAATTTTTGKTTTTTATCCCTTTCTCCTCTCCTCTTCATCTCCCCCAAAATAAAATTCACGACCAGCTTACTGATTAATATGTATGTATCTCAGTGCCCTCTATGGATTTTTTTTTATCTCATCTTCTGCAAAGAACTTCAAGTTGGCTATTATATTCAATAAAGTGAAGACTCAGAGTCCCAAGTGGCTAATTATCCATGATTTTGTTACAATATTATTTCTAGCAATCTTATGGTATTTTAAAATTCAGCTGAGGTAATATGAAAAGCAACACTTCAAATAACTGCATGATCATGAAATATAGTGAAGATGTTTTCTGAGATCATTTGCAATTGTCAGATATAGCTTTCCCCATACACTCTTATTCATTTTTCTCTAATTAATTTAGAACTGTGAAATCTGGTCCTAAAAGCTGAAATTTTTTTTTTGTTTCCTCATGAACGGGTTTGAGGCAAAAGAATTGTTTCTGAAAAACATCTTTTGAATGCAAGGAAAAGACTGCATTAGGCTATAACTTGCAAATTGTCAAATTTTCTCCCTGGTCTTAATTTTTCAGAAGTGGTTAGTGTTCATAGTTTCAGATGGATTTGGTGGGAGGTGTGGATATCTCTCAAAACAAAGTGTTTAATTCTCCTCCATCCAATGGACTCAGTTCAACTGGGTAAATGTAGGTGTCTAGTGCCATTCAAATTACAAATGGGCCTCTCTGCCTGTAGCTACCATTAAAAAGGGTGTGAGTCTCTTCTAGGTGCTATATCATATTTGTCCAAACTCTTTTCAGACGTCTCACATATGGAGGACATCCTAAACAGCACTAAATGCTGGAGCAATAGGCAGAGAGGAACCTCATGGARTTGAGCAAGGGGTAGTGCAAAGTCCTGCACCTTGGGACGAATAGCTCCATGCACCAGGACAGGCTGGGGGCTGATCTGCTGGGAAACAGCTCTGTGGAGAAAAGCYTAGGGTCCTGAACATGAGAAAGCAATGAGTCCTTGTGGGAAGGAAGTCCAGTGGCACCTGGGGCAGCATGAGGCAGCGCGTTGCCACCAGGACAAGGGAGGTGATTCTTTCCCCCCACTCAGCACTGATGAGGACACATCTGAAGTGGAGTCTGGGACTCCCCAGTACAAGACAGATATGAAGGTACTGGAGAAAGTCCAGCCTCCAAGAGGCTCAAAAATGATAAATGGATTGGAGCATTTGTCATACAAGAAGAGCTGAGAGAGCTGGGTCTGTTCAGCCTGGAGATAAGAAGGCTCAGGGGGATCTTATCAGTGTGTATAAACATCCAGCAGGAACATGTAAARTGGACAGATCCAAATTCACAGTCACAGGAAGAGAAGCAGTGAGCACAAATTCAAACACAGGAAATGCCATTTGAACACAAGAAAACACTTGACTGTGAAAGTGGCTGAACATTGGAAAAACTTGCTCAGAGAAGTTCTGATCTCCCTCCTTGGAGATCTTGGAAGATCCAACTGGACATGGTCCTGGGCGATCTGTCCGAGCTCACCCTGCTTAAGCATGGGTTGGACCAGACGGTCTTTAAAGGCCCCTTCTAACTCCAGCTCTTCTGTGATTCTGTGAATTTATGTATTATCTACAGTTCAGCCAGTTAAAAGATTAACCTCCCTGTCTCACTTTCTAATTGACTTTCTAGCTGCCTCATCAATATCCTAGCCAAATAATTCCAATTATAGAGTTTTCTTTGATCTCAACTTTCATGGCAAGTTTCTGAACTTCCTCATAATAAATAAGTGTAATTCAGCAGCAGATGGCGGGAATTGTTTGTTGGTTACCTGCAGTGTCTCTTCGGGATAAAGGATCAGAGAAAATCTACTTTGTGGATGACTTTCACAGTACCTTGACAGTAAAAAGAGTGTTTAAAAAACAATGCCTCAGAGGCCAGAAAAACCTTTGGTTTTGTCCAAGATACAACAGAAAACCAATGGCTCTGGAAGTGACATGGAGAGTCCCTTCAGCTTTAATCAATGCAACCATGCAGAGATTAGTAAGCAGGTGTCAGGTTTTAGTTCATTTTCTTTTACTTGGAGACAAATGGGGAAAATAAAAGCTGAAAAATGTGATTACTTACTTATCGTGGACCCCGATTCAGGCCTGTTCAAGGAGCTGATGATCACAAAGCCAAAGCCTTCGTTCTCCTTGCGGTGGATCACAACATCGCTGGTTTGGAGGCTGTGAGAAGCAAAGCCCTCTGGGGGTGTAGCATTACTGCTAGAGACAGCGTGATTACTGTTAGCATAAGTAGCATAGTCACTTCTTGGAGAACTGTGGTGTGTAGACACCGAGCCTGGGCTTCTGCCATTCTCTGGGCACGGTTCTCCTAAAATATAAATCAAATCAGTATTACATTCTGCTCAGTGGCTCCACGACTTACAGTACATTTGCTAATGCAACACGAATACAGTCGACTGTCTATAGCCAGACTACTGTAAATATTAAACTAGGAACCATAACATATGCAGAGAGACAGGAATCTACATGATTATGCAAAGCATTCAAGGGCAATCAAATAAAACAAGCATGAATACTCACTGCTAAGCTAGCTAAAAGAGAGGAAAGGGAACTGCTGTAAGAAGCAGTGGCTATCCTCTGGACTGCAAAATCGTTAGCAAGCACTATGGTCTTGTCTACTAGCTGTTCTGTCATCTAGAGGAAAATGTGACATCTAATGCAATATAAATTTTTGTTTGGATTAAAAGAATTTAAGCAGGCAGCTAAAAGAGAGTCATTAGGATTAGCTGCATAATGCTCTTTATAGCATGTTGATCAGCGTGCTCAAAAGACATATGGAGCAGAGTGGTTATACAATGAAAAATAATCACAAATAGTTTTTTCTGTGGGTGTAGTCACAGAAGCAGAGCTCATTTAAAGACTGGGAGATGCTCTGGTGTGAATGAGTTGAAAAGGGGAGATGTGAAAACGGAGTCCATACTTCAGCAGTTCTTTATAGTAACAGGAACATGGAACAAGTTAAATCTTGTGGGATTAAACCATTTTTTTTTTAATATAAGCATTGCGGAAACCCAAAACAGTAAAGTTACGCCTTTAGATGAGAAGAAGATTTTTATTCCTTCAGGATCTAAGCTGTTTACACAAGTCATTATTATTTAATGGCAATTTTAAGATGCAACTTTCAGATAAATATGAGAAATACATTTTCTGTTCACAGCTGTGAGAGTGGTAGAGTCATTCTACAGAGCACACGAAGAGCTCACACATACACACACACAGCCTAGGAAGAGAGCTTACAAGTTAGACCTTCACTGTGTATACATTAATAAAATAAACATCATCCAAGGACAGGCTGTTGTTTTCTCAGTCAGGTGTGTCCTTTAGCAGTCCTTGTGCAACTACGAAATAAAGTGATTAGAGAGAATGAGGAGGAAGAAAAACAAACAATTATTATACCGCTACATTAGAATTGAAAATCTCCAAGAATCATTGAACCAAGTCTGCAACTAAGTGCCATAGTTGGTGACAAGAGAGATCTCATTTTCTGGCTGTCATGTTTCAGAAAGCTGAAAACTGTTTTTGTCAGTGTGGCTGCAACAGAAAGGAAATTATCTTACCCTGCTGAATGACCAAGGCTGGCTTGGCCCTAAATGAATGAACTGAATGCCATTAAGTATAGGAAAAGAAAGATAAAGGAGGAAAYGTTTAAATRTCATTTGATTATCAACCATACCATAGATATGTATCAGAAAAATTACATGTTGCTTCCGTCTRTGAAGAGATGGCATTGTACAATTCCTGTTTCCAGAATACCACACTCACCCAATCACATTTTCCCACAGCTTGAGCAGGGTCATTACCTGCTCCAGGTTTGGGGAAGGGAGCTGTGCAAAGTGGTAGCTGGAGCTGCATGAGCTGTTCGGAAGGGAGGTAAGAAAGCCCCAGAACCTTTGCTGTGTACATTCATATTAGTGCAAAGATCACATTAAAGCTGATATATTAAAATTAATTTTTTTTTCRGTTACATCCCACATGGCTCATTTTTAATTATTTTTTTCCCACAAAGCATACGTTGCAGCAGCTCTGGGAATGACGAAGCATTAGTGAGTCGCACCCRATATCGCCCAGCGCGGTGCTCCGAGGCCCGGGAGAACCTCGCAGTGCTTCGCTCGCTCGCCCTGGAGCCGCCTGGCGCGGGGAAGGCGCGACCCAGGTGCCCGGAGCATTACCTTGGTTATTGGCCACTTTCCTAGCGCTGGGGGAGCTGCGAGGGGGCGTCGCGCCGGGTGCAAGGGGAGCTTTCTGGCTGCAGGACTCTGGAGTCAGTAACAGAAGAAAGTCAGTGCCGGCAGCGCCGCGGCGGGAGCGGGATGCGGAGCAGAGGGGAGCAGGGTGGGAGCCACAGCAGGGGCTGGCGCGGAGGYGGCGGAGCGACAGGACAGGCTGGAAACGGGCTCATTTCTGATCCCTCGCTGGGGTGCACTGACCACACGCATTTTATTTTATAGGCAACTAAATAAATTTCCTCAAATAAGCAAAGATTTTAATGGAACTGGAGCAGAGTCTCTGATTAAAACTTTAATAGCCAGACGTTTCCCAAAGTCTCTTTTTTTTTCACAAATTGACATTGAGCTAGTCTAAAGGTTTTAGTTGCTTCAGATTCTTTGTATCGCTTTAAACTTATATTCTGAATAATATATTTGAATTATTAATACATTAGCATATTATATGAATAATATTTTCTGCTTACGGGGTGGACTCTGTCCTGCTCCTTGTAGCTGTTGCTGCAGCTCAGGAAGGTTTTTAKGCAGCTTGCATTGAAGTCAGCGGGAAAAACTCCAAATGACATCAGTGAGACCAGAAATGGGCTTTAAACATGTACAAGTGTGAAATGAGTCCTTGCCTCAGACAGTTATGGTCTTTAAGCCTTTCTCTGATGGCTTATTCACACCGCCAGCTCTAGCTTAGGTGGACATGCTGTCCCAAAAGGGCACACAAGAGGAGACAGCACAGACCRAGACAGCATGGGACAAATCCAGAGCACTCATGATCACCACACTGGGGCTGCTGATGTTATTTCCACTTCCAAAGGAAACAACACTCAGCTGTAGCAATTTTGTCACAGAAATGAGAGACAGACACCTTTTTTTTTCAAATGACAATTCATTTTCACCATTTTTTAAAAAAATATACAGCATTCTTTGTGCCAAGAGCATTGATTTCTATTATTCTTTCTCCCTTTCCCCCATCCTCTCCACTCACCTGCAGAGAGCACTTTTCTCCTCACAGTAAGGTTCACTTGCCCGTTTCGGGCAGCGTTATGCATAAGATCAATCACGTATCGGTGGGTTTTTCCAGCCACTGGAATCCCGTCTACGTACACCAGCTCATCGCCGGGATGGAGGCGACCGTCTCTGTCTGCCGAGCCCATTGCAATCACTGCTCCGATCAGAATCTAGGGACAAAAGGAACAAAACCCTGTAAAAATCACACTGAGGGCACTCACATACACAGCCACACATTTTGTCGCATGGATATTATAGTGATTCCCCTTTTCTGTTGAAATTAAGTTAGTGATTCAGATTCTGTGCTTGACAGACACCCTCTTGTTCTGCAGATGTGGTTGAAGATGTTTTCTTACCTCTGGCAAGAGGGTATGATGTTTCTAATCTGGCAGGAACGATATACCCGAGACTCCTGATCTCAGCGCTATCTATACTTGCAATCTTTAAATCAAGACACTTAAGTAATGGTGAATTTCTATAGATAACATGATGCAGAAGATCTAAATAGACAAATAGCATTCAAAGCTCCTTTGACTTTAAATTACTAAAGCTACATATTACTTATCTAGGGTTCCCAATATCTGCACAATATAAATAACTGGGTGAAAAAAACCCCAGTGTGGCTAGTAGAAGTGTCCCTACCCACACAGTTTGCTTCAGGATCCCATGTGGAGCCTTGAGGATTTTCCCCAGCTCTATTTGGTTCACTTTTGCTTCCAAAGGGTGAGAGAAAGAAAACAAGGTACAGCTCTTCCCTTCTTCCTGGCGGTCTACGATTCCTGTTAAGCCATGCAAGGCTGAGTTCCCAGAGCTGTTCTTTTAGGTTYTCCACTCTGTTCTTCAAACAGTGAAAGAATATACATCAAAGCTTTGAAAAATGCTTTGTGTAAATTCCAGCTATGAAATATACATTTAGGCTCTTCTACCAGGCAATAAAAACTGCTCAAAGCTCTGTTAGACAGATCTCCAGAAAGAACTCTCAGAACCTCGCATCTGCAAATCTCAACGGAGTAAGAACTTCTGGGAGTTATTTTGGAAGGAAATGGATGTTAGCTTGTGGCAGCTTGGAAGATTTGTAGGGAGTAACTTGCTCCTGGTTTTTATTATCTGCAGTTTCTTTGTAATTGACTCAAGGCTGACAAAGTATTGAACGGTTTGTTCATCTCTACTTCTGGAGAAACACAAGTGCAGCTCACAGCATGGTGGGCCATCAATACCTCCTGCAAAGTCCCCCAAACTCCTATTGGTTTTGACTGGTCTAAATAATCATATCTGATCTTTTCCTTGWCTACATCCATGGTGGAAAGTGCCTCTGGAACTGATATCAGTGCTGGAGCTGACAGTCACTCTCTTTGTGATTCTTGATAATCATTTAACTTTGTGATGCAGTGTSTCTGCATAGAACACAGTTATTTCACAAGTACATAGTAAAATTAAGAAACAGACATAGAAGATGTGATTCATCTCACCTAACTTTAAGTGTCTGTGATGTTTAAATTTAAGCTAATCATCTGAACCTGTTGTCTAATCACTGAGAAAAATGGGAACTCCTAAGGTGTGGTTTGTATTATCCTAATGCTTTTCGGACAACTTCATAACATCTTAGAAATAAATGTCTCTGACTTAACATTTATCACTAGAGATATCAAAACATGAATCTTGTAAGCATTTAATTTTAAATTAGACAAATCCAAGGCAAACTGTTTGGATGAGGAAAAMACTCAGGCTAAATCTGTACATGTTCCTGTGATTTGCAGGAGCTATTGAGCTATATGAATGTATCCAAAATACTTCCCCCCTTAGGAACAGTGATTATCAAAGTCTGTACAAAGCCAAGTTATGAACTGGTTGTAACCTTCCAGTGATGGTTCTGAGCAAGGTTTGGGGCGTGTGTCAGCACCATGTACTGTTAAAATTCACTGTAATATAGCCAGACTATTTTAAACACCTCAAGTTAATGACAAATGTAATAAATATATCTGGAGGAATGATTTTATGAGATTTGAGAAGGACTCCCACAATCTAGATGCTTGAAATATCACTATAAATGTAACTCTTTCCTTCAGGAACCATCTTTGCACTTATATATAAGCAAGGTGGAGTATTCTGAGGTGCCAGCTAATATAGGCAAACTCTGCTACAATCCCTCTATAGCATCTATCTCATTATTTTAAAAATACTTTATGCAGATCCTACTTCTCTGAGAATTTTCTTGCGTTGTGCTGAAGAAGCCATACTCCTTTTCAGAAACAAAAGCACAGAGACCAAAGGCACTGAAAGCTTCCTTTGCTCTGTGTTATCTGGCTGCACAGTGGGAGAGTGGAAACAAACATTTCAAAGTGTCTTAGTTCTTGTTTCATAGGACACATTGGGGTTTGGAGGACAGGCAGAAACTGCCTCTCCTTTCCTGGAGGTGAAAGGAACAGAAAGCTGCAGGTGGGCAGCCCATCGTGGACCAGGGGAATGCTGAGGGAGAGAAAGCAGAATTTAAAAGTTTTGTGCTTTAGTACATCTAATTAGAGGATCCATCTAGTAGTACAAACTAGATGGGAACTAAAAAAGAAAAAGTGGAGTTCATCTATCTACTTTCTTAAAGATGAATCTGAGCTGTGAAAACAAGCAGATGGTCAAAAGAGAGAGCTGAAAAGTCCAGCATGGCAACACCGAGCTCTGAGGCATCTTTTTGCCATATAGGATGCAAAGCCTCAAGCCAGCTTGAYATTAAATCCCAGGGACTGTGAGACAAGGTGTGCAGGGAGACATAAAGCCTCTTACACCAATATCTGTGGGGTAAATAAGCTTTTGTGTTCCCAAGGCCTGAAACAGAGGCAGCAGCCTTGAAGATAAGCGCAGCTGAGAGCAGCTCTTCAGTAGGACCCTGAGGTACCGCAGAAGGTGGTTCACACAAAGAAGCATTTTCAGTCCCGACCAGTCTGTGACCTGGAGGGAGTGCACACCTGTGTGACTGGTGTCCAGCCACGACTCTATCTGGCTTTAGGCAGTTAAGACAGGTCAATCTTTTGCTGAAAAGAAACTACAAAGAACAGTCTTTACTGAGAAGARGCTAGAAAGATCTACTTGCTCTGCAACGGTGCATAACACCTGCAGGTGGGAAGCAAATATCTCATTTCCAAATTCCTGTTCTTGATTTTGAGCAGACATAAATTCCAACCTCCCACAAATCAGGCAACTATTCCTAGCCAACAGAGTGTTGGATACTCTAAAGCAGTTTTACTGCTCCTTTAGGTCAAAACTATCCCATTTTATGCAAATAATCASCAACTGGATGAGGTATTTGAGCTGCACTTTTTCTTATGAGGATGCCCTAAAACTCAAAATGCAGAGCCAGCCACTCAGTCTAGTGGCTACTTAATCACCCATTTGTAATGGAAAAGGTACTGAAGGAGAAACCAAGAGAGGCTCTTCCCTAGAATACGCAGCAGCCTGGCAACCAGGGACACTTTCCTGGCAGATAGGAAGTGCCAGCAGATGCTAGTGTCTAAAGCAGGTAGATGGAGATTTCAGAACATTCCACCAGCTCACACTCTTTGCAGGATAAAATGGGRTGTCCTTTCTAAACCCTAAGAGATGTCATTTTTGGCCTCATCCAGGGAGTGAGTTTTCAGAAAGTATGTTGATGGGGCCTTCCAGAGAAGACAGGAAAAATGTTTGGTTAGAAGAATGTTAGGATAGGAGATGTGTGGCACAAGCTTTTACATGTGCTATGGCAGAAGGTCAGATGCCAGAGGGACTTCAGGCACACGGCAGGTTTAGAGGATGAAACAGCATTATTCTGATAGTGATGTCCTTGTGTAGCTTTGAGAATCCATTCCAAAATAGTTATTCTAAAATGAGGCCTTCAWATTGGCATATGAATCATATTTGTCGATCCCATGCACTTGTTTCCTTTTAAAGGAGGTATCAATAAACTATTAATATTTAGCAGTAGTTCAATAGATATCGATAATTTTAAGAGAGAGAAAAGTTTTCTCAGATACTGCTCTGCTGATGTCAATGCTTAAATGAAAATGGTATTATYCTGTATAAGTCAATCTATCAATGAGTTATACATTGTGTATAGCCAGAGTGTTTCACTGTGGTAAGATGGGCTGCAAAGACTATGTGTAGTGTTGTGATATGAGAGTGTTTTAGGCATAGCTTGAGGATTAGACCCCAGTGACAAGYCCCAGTTACACTGTGAAAGTCATTCCGAGCAACTCTGCTCTCCCAAAGACATACTCACTAACTCCTGGACATTAAAGTCTTTTTGTATATCAATGTTTCACTAAAATACATATTTTTTTTTTTAGAAACAAACATACATAGATCTTAAGTCGCCTGCAGTGTCTGACACTTCAGTTACAGAGCTGATTTTTGCAAAGATATTAGAATTATAAAATGGAAAGTTAGGAAGAAGCAACTCACAGGCTGTCCAGGTTCATCTCCCCCCAGGATTCGGAAGCCAAAGCCAGACTCCATCCTCCGAAGGTGAACATCCAGTTCCTTGTAATCGGGACCTGGTTTAAAGGGAAATCTCACTGAGCAACGCATTTTTGTTTTGTCCAGAGAATTTACACCATCTTCCGTCCCCGCTTTTGTTCACCATGGATGACTAATGACAGCCTGTCTAGAGCCAGTGGGAACAAATGGAACACAATGCATTGTACACAGACAAAGAGAAGACACTTGAAAATGTAGGTATTTTGRAAGATGATTATGTTCAGCAAAATGCACCAAGCCCAAACTAGAACACATTCACAGGAGAATGGCACTGGAAAATTTTGACCAAAATAGAGGTTATAATGATGTCTTCCTCCTAAGATTGACCGTATCATAATTTGCTGTTCAGCTATCTCTGCTGTTTAATTTGGATTTTCCTTGCTGTCTGTTAAAACTTAAAGAGAATAAGCTGAAACAGGAGATAAAGAAAATTAATCAGTCCAACTTAGGGAAGATGAATAATCAGCACAGAACATTTCAGTTCCATACACAAGGATAAAGCAGTATGTCTTTTACATAATGTAACTTTTCAGTACTCTACTGTCAGGTAATACCCTCAATAAAAAGTTCTGGTGAAAGCTAGCATTATAAGCCTCTGAGTTTTAGGGTTTAAATTGAAAGCTAACATAATGGRTTTGAACTCCTTAATGCTACTCAATTAAAGCTTTATGAATCATTAAAATTGTGCTTCCATATGCCTGCATATTTTGCCTGTAAACATACATTCTGCCCTGGATTATATCAGTTCAGGAACTGTGCTTTTTACAAATGAGCTTCTTGTAAAAGGGTCTTTAGTTTCATGTGACAAAGCCCATTGTTTTGGGTCCAGGTGCCCTTAAAATACAAAAGAGATTAAAAAAAAAAAAAAAAAAAAAAAGCCTTGGTAGTTAAAGAACTAATAAATTGTCTCCTTTAGCTGCCTTTCTGCCAGGATGTTTAGAGACACTTTGGGCTCATCACCTAAAGCAGGACAGTTACTAGCAGAATGGTCGTTTGTACAAATTGCACTCCGAGCTATAAATCCTGACAGAGCTTTTGGCCAGCGCCAGCATTTTGTCAGCCCCCAAAGACAGAAAGGAACGAGTAGCTTTATTTCAGCAAACTGCTCATGTTGTTTCCAACTGCGCCGTGTTTCCCTAGGAGGGCAGGGACTCCAGATGGCTGAAACACAGCACGTCAGCAGCTCATTACCAGCCAGTGGATGCTGCGCAAATGACAGCGTTCAGGGGATCCCTCCCAGCTCATGGGCCCTGGTGGTCACTGTCTCATTTTCTAAGATGATGAGTGTAACAGACTGAGCAATGATAATGGAGAGGAGATTCTTTGGATGCTGCTTAGTGAATCCGAGCCAGGGAGTGATCCCTTTTCACTCACATCTGACCCATCAGTTCAGCTCTAGGCAGGTCTTCAAAGAAGACCATAGCCAYCTACAGCAGCTCTATGCTATCACTGGGCCATAAAATTCTCTCTAGACTGCCACAACAGCATATTATGGAGACCTGCACACTGCTTCAGAAATGAATACTAATACTAGACCGAAGCTGAATTTTCCTCAAATGTCTCAGCTGGCGAAAYAAAATTATTGCCTTTCCCTACTAACTTGCCTCCCATATGTTTAGACAACAAAATAGCTCCTAAGATCTTATTATACTGATTTTTCTTCAATTTATTTGATAAGTGTTTCAGCAGTCAATAAAAGAGCAAATGAAATTTGTGTATGCACAAATTTCTATTAACATAAGGCAAAGGTTGTTTCAAAGTTGTCAGAGTCAAAGGAATTTTAGTATGAAGATAGCGCTCTGTCCTTGCTTGATGTGTCCGTGTAACAAGGACGGGGTTAGGACTAGGGAGAGGACATCAGAGAGGGACACAGCAGTAGTGACACTCCTGAGCTCTAACATGCACAGGAGATTTTGCTTCCAGGGTTTATTCGTGCAGCCATGAGTGATATGCACAGTTGCGGACACATTAATAAAAGCATAAGAATGTGAAATTGCAAAGGGTGCATACTCCGGCACACTTTATACACCAAACCAGTGTTGGTATCAGACTCCAAAATAAAAGGTGTTATTTTTGTTATTTTTTTTATGAGTCTCTCTACCAAAGGAATCATGGATTCATTAAGGTTGGAAGGGACCTTTAGGGATCATCTAGTCCAACGACCCTGCACACACAGGGTCACCTAGAGCATGTGGCAATTCCATGGCAAACGGATTCTGTCCAAGAGAGTTTTGAGTATCTCCAGAGAAGGAGATTCCACAATCTGTCTTGGCAACCTGCTTGAGTGCTCTGTCACCAGCACCATTAAGATTTTTTCCTTAAGTTCCTGTGGAACTTTTGKTGYTTTAGAATGTAATGAAAAMGGTAAGCTAAGCTGACCATGAACAGATTTAAGCTAAAAATGTCCTACATGGGAATASTTTTCCTTTTGTAGAGCTGTAACATATTTTGGAAGCTTGTAGATTAACTGACTGTGGCAATGCTTGCTCCRAAGAGCTTTCCTTGCCAGGGAGCTAGAAGTCTACAGACCCCATTAGCTGCCAACTCTTCCTTGTATGCTAAAAACTGCTTTAAAAAAAATATTCTTTTTTGTCCCATCAAGCAGCAGAAATACAAGACTGGAAAGGATCCCTGGTCATGTAGCCCAGCTTCCAGATATTGCAAGCAAAAAGCAAGCAAAAAAGACCTGAGTAAAGAAGACACTTGGCAACTGTGCCTTTTTTGTGCCTTTGTCACTAYGTCACCTTCCTCATTCTGTGCTTTAATTGGTGGATTGCACCCACAGAATCACAGAATCACAGAATATTCAAGGTTGGAAGGGACCTCTASAGATCATCTAGTCCAACCTTCCCGCTCAAGCAGGCACACCTACAGCATGTGGCACAGGGCGGCATCCAGGTGGGTTTTGAAGACCTCCAGGGAAGGAGACTCCACAACCTCCCTGGGTGATTATACCCCATGATGATTATACTTTTTCACTACAATTTGATATTATTCCCTGCAACTGACTTCTATACTTAAGAGCACTCCATCCTCTGCTATTTCCAGTTGTTTCAGTTTTCACGTCAGGCAGGATGACATGACTCCACTGGCTGGCTTTATGTTGAGCTGGAGACAACTACCCCACAGACGCCTGAAGAGCCTATGGGGGAATGTCTTTATCTGGACCTGATCCCAGCTCCAGGTCAGCATGTAAGAGTATCAGCTATAACCAGCATTTTGTAAAATGCCTAATTGAAGTTTAGATTGATTAAGTAGGTACCACTTTTTTGGTGCAAAAAATATCAGTTACCAGGTTAGTGTGACACAATCTATTTTCGTAAGCTTCTTTTGCATTAGATCTCAGTTTATTTTCATATCCATAGTTAATCCTTATTTTAAAATACGTTCTGAAGTCTTGCTGACTATCAAAAATGTTTTTCCCTTTTTCCTCAATATAGGTAAAATGTTGACTAATAGTTGCTGTTCTGACGACAGGAACTCAGGCTTGACTGATTAACATTCCTTATTACCATGTGCCAATGCTTTCAGTATTCTTGCATATACATTAATCAGGTACTCTTTCCCATGGAAGTGATTACATTTTCTTTCTGATATTTCTTCAGTGCTTACCTCTCTATGATTCTGGTGCTTTTTTCCCCCCAAAAAAGATTAATAGATAAAATAAATGTTGCCTCTTCTTGCCGGTGCAGGTTTTTGATTGATCATATGTACAAAGCAAACTGCCTGTACTTACAAAGAAATGACACTTCCATGCCTTGAAATATATTGCAAACTGTTGGTTAATATGACTTCATTATGGAAAATGAATCTTTTTTTTTCTTTTTTTTTTTTTTTTTCTCTTGCTATAAACTAGATTGGTACCTTTGCAGTTCATGCCAAGTAAGAATAAATTAATAGGTTTGCAGACATGGGAGTCAAGTGAAGCCTTAATCAGTATAGTCTGCTTTTTGGCAGAGCGTGTTTTGTTGGTTCACCTATGTGTCCCATCTCCAAAACATCAACTTTTCTTCTATAAAACCTAATTTTAACCTAAAGGCATCCTCCATAGGAATGACAGGGTTTCCCCCTCTCCTTTACTTCTCTGCACTTCTTTAATAGAAAAGGAACAGCAGACTACACTGTTAGTAGATTCAGTGTCTTTTTTATATTTAGAGTATTTTGTTTGGTCTTTTTCTGTAAAAGGAAACTTAATGGTCAGAAGTGACAAAACCAATTCACTTGGCTAGGTTATAAAAACAGCYGGATCTCCCATGAATTTAAGAATGGAATTGGACAAGCAGTGATCTTATCATTGCTGCACAGCAAGGGTAGCAAAGAGCATCCAGAAATTCTATTTCCTGCCTTATGGAAGAAGGCAGATTTGCTTTAAATGCAATGAATATATTGTTACTGAACAGCAGTGAGATCTCAGAAGTTCAGACGTGATCATCAGCTCTCAGTTACATCTCTGTACTGTATTCATTTCAATTTCTAGATGACATGCACCTTGGAAAGTGCACACACAATTGTTTCTTGAAAGTATGTAGAGAAGATTTGTTTTATGGATAATTTAAGCCTTGGAAGTGCTGAGTGATATTCATAGAGATAAACCTGTTATTGGGGATGATACTGTAAAGGCGAAGATTTTTTTTATTAAATTTCTTCTACATTGTAAATAAAACAAGGAGGCGGAGCTTTGTTATAAGATCTTTACAGTCTTTCTGGGTTTGCTCAAACTTATTGCTAAAAATAAGAGCTATTTTGACTTTTTTATTGAAGCTGATGAGCATTTTTTATTATGTGTAAATTATTATCATGAACTGTGATTAACCCAAATCTACAACAATTTTTTATCTGGGCTTCAGATGTTTTGAAAAATGTGAAAAGCTTGAAAAAAGTCTTCTGATTTCCAACCTTAATAACTTCTTAAAAAATACACAAATTTCCTTTTGATATTTATAGAGCTGGTAAATAACCAACTACAGAAAGCCCCCCCCCCAAAAAAAAAAGGAATTAATACCAAACATAGTTATTTAACCTAACAGGGTGTGCAAAACCAGCCCAAACCCATATTTAATTTAGGAACCTATCCAAAATATTTTGGAATAGAAAAGCCTTTAATGAGTTTTTAATGTATAGGAGGAAGAAATGGCTGGGTCTATGTAACACATCAATCTGTTTTTTTGCAAAGGAAGGCAAAATTGATATCATTTTTTTCATTGCAAAAAAATGCTTAAACTAAGTTGTAGGCATGAGCTATAGAAAAATATTTTTATGCTATTAATGGTAGGACAGTAAACACTAAATGTATCAAAGCACACAAAAAATATTGTTAAATACACACAAAGACTGTCTGAGGAAAATGAAGTGGTTTTCCTTCCTCAAAATGAAAATCTATTACAAAAAGATGTAGAGTTAGCATTCTATAACCTCCCCCTCTACAGCTCATATAAAAAGAAAATAGTGACTGGGCTGATTGGCCGTAATCTGGAGAAATGATTAAAGAAATAATTACTCAAACATAAAATGGAGGACAATTAGTTTACAGAACAATGAAGGCTGAGGAATACTTGCCAGAGGAATCCACTCGAAAACCAGTCCTGGGCAGCACTTGTTCTGAATAGGAAAATGGGGAATTAAAGATGAAATACATTTCTCAAGATATGTAAAGAAGCAGCACCATTTTCTGTGCTGTGCATTAAATTACTGACTTGCAATTTCTCTTTCTGACTGTATATTTCATTTATTGCATATCCCTTTCCTCCTGACATGTATCTTCCTGCTAGATATAAGCCTTCTTCACCATTTCTAGGTGAAGTGAAACAGACAGTTAAGAGTGCTCCTTTATGAGAACATAGTTTGTGATGAAGATTAAATTGTTACTGTATTAAAAAAGGTGAAAGTTGGGGCTTATTTTTTTTCTTAATGTTATTGCTTATTCAAAGACCACAACAAAAGGAAAGTTTACAAGYTGTTTAGATGACTTGACTCCTGCTRTTATCCAATTCAACTGCAAGCCCTCTTTCATTATCAAGAGCAATATTTTGCTAACAGATTATATATTTATATCATCAACAAAAACAACCGGTTGCATGTGAAAGCAAAGTCGTTCAACTCACTTGTAGTACAGACAGCTTCATAGTATTTACATCTCACTAGATGATACAGTGAACCAATAATGGATTGTTTTTTATTTACAACTACTTTGCTGGCATTAGAGGAATCTGGAACAAATCCATAGYTGGATTCATTGTCACAGTTTAACTATAGACTTCTGTTTTACMATCTCTTCAGCCTCCAGAGTGATTAGCAAAACATCTCACACTGGAGGCATCCCAACAGAAAATAGGGAAAAAAGAACTAGCACATCCACRCAACTAAAACAAAGCACTATATCATGTATTTCATGATATAAACAGGGATCTTCTACATCAGCATCTGTAGGACAACAATTCACAAAGATAAAGTATACACAAAGTATATATTATCTCATGAAATAGAAGGAAAAGATGAGTATAAAAGGAATTTAAGCACCATGTTTTCCAATTAGAAAGAGGTCAGAAAATGCCCTGGAAGGCATTGCTTTTGACCCATCGAAGCCCTCTGGAAATATTTGGAAGTGGTGAGAGAAATGAGAAGACAGTATTTCTCATGCAGACAGCTCCCTAACACTTCGGAAGACTTTGGACTAAAATGACCTTCCTGGCCTTCTGGTGGATCATTCCCTAAAAGGAGCAAAAACTGCAGTGTTYCAGCATTACTCAACATTTCACAGCTCCAATAATGCTCATTGTAGAGCACTAATGCTATAGAATTAATACATTTTCCTCAAAATGGAGATGGATGCCACTGAATGTCTTACACCTCTTTTATAAGAGTATTTACACAATGGTCATGATCTGCCCAAACTGAGGTAACTGATATTCTGCTTATCTAGAACAGTTCGGATATTGAATTGGATGGGAACACRCTTTTGGTTTTAATGAAGTATTTGCGTTAATGTTAAAGGTTGTCTAAAGTGTGTTCTAGTTTGTAGGTGTCTGCACATCTTTACTTTGATGCTTAAAGGAGGCACTCCCTCCRTATACTTCAGAATTTGTAAAGTAATTTAGAATCCTTCCAGATGAGAGGAGCTATGTAGATCTAAATTATTCCACAAACATAACTATGCAAAGTCAAAACCTTTGAAACAGGTGAGGATCCATTGCAAATTTGGAAGAACTTTTTTTTTCCCACTCACTTTTTTTCAAGATTTTGATGGAATCCTTAAAAGAGACAGGATGATTTTAATTCACAGAAAGCAATTAAATCTCAATTGTCTAAAAAAGCTTTTGTTTGAAACCTTTCTGTTGGTCATCGAGCTAGAACTACTGTTGTAGCTGTTGTAAGACTGGGTCATTCTGTGTTTCCATTTGTGCCTGGAGTCACCCTAGTATCCCTCAGAATATACTTCAAATAGCAAAGCTAAACAGGTACAATTACATTAAAATTGTGACAAAAAAGAGAACAAGGCAATTCTCAAGGAGCTTCAGTGGCTCTAGGGGATTCAGCCTTGGTAGCTTGAGGACTCAGACCCTRCTAGCTAGGACCTCCAGCAGCACCTTGGATCTTGATGGCTTCTCTCCTATGGAAGGGGGCRTTTTCCTCCCCTCTGCATCACACAGCACCAGCCAAAGGTGTGCTCAATGTGTGTGATGCAGAGACCTCCCCGCTGTTGCTTGGACAGGGTGTTTGTGAGGGTGACAGAGGTGTGTGGCTCATTCGGGAGGAACTAAGGCAGCAGCAGCACCTCCAGGCTCTGTTTCAGTGGTGGCACTTTGCATGTCCAGTTACATCATGGTGCAATGGGAAGCTCTCAACTGTGAAAGCTGTTTGCTGCCAGTACAGACATTTCCTGCTATACTCGGTGAAAAGCCAGATCCAGCCCATCTTTTGTCTGTTGGATTCAGCTAGCCTAATCTGTTCTTAAAAACTCCCAGTAACTGGGGCTTTACAAGCTCTCTAGGACATCTCTATTAATGCTTACAAAATGCCCTTATATTTGGAGAAGCATTTCTAATCCTTATCTAATCCACCTTGCTGCATTTTTATCCCATTACTCTTGACTATGCTTGACAAGGAAAACTCTTCTTTCTGTACCAACTGTTTTTACTTGAAGATCTCTTTCAGATTTTATTCTTTATGCTAAGCAAGTCCAGTTCTCTCAATAAGTCTAGTAAAGTAAAAGCAAGATTTAGAAGTTTCCCAGTCAGCAGTGAGATGCACATCTCTACAATTTCTAAACAGGTAGAGAATTCACAATAAACGGGATAAAGAGTTACCTTCTGAGYTTGTTAAATCCTAGTTCCCTTTCTTTATACTGAGTGGTTTATTAATCATTTTTTTCCACCCTCTTGAAAGTTGGTTACTTCTTAACTAAATATCCTACATTTCTGTTATCTGCTCACAGGATGAGAAAACAAGTTGTCCACTTGCAAAAGTTTCATATCTAGAGGAAGGGAGATCTGTACGTTTTTTATTGGACTAGCTGTTGTAACTGGAAATAAAACCGAGATTTTGGACTCTGAGTTCCTTGGTAAGGTATCATTACATGACTTCTTGGGTCTTATTTCTAAACACTGTAATATGGAAATTTCTAGGTATGTCTAGATGCTTAGAGGAAAGGAAGAGAACTTCTGTAATACTTACTCCCTTATGACTTATTACAACCCATGAGCTTAGCTAGGTCATGAATTCTTATTGTTTTAAGGGAAGAATTGTTTAAGGGAAAACAATCTCACACACTGACAGTGCTTCTATTCCAAGATTTTCACATGAATAAAATGCATAGATATCCATCCACCCAATCTCTCAGGGGAATCTAAAACTCACCAGGTCTTCTTTCTGTCTATTAGTTAAAACCCCCTTGCTTTAGCTATTTAAGAATGTTGTCAGATACAAATTCTTTTGGGAAACGGTACACAAGAAGTATCCTGCACGCTGGTAAAAATGCCTGTGACCATTAACAAAATGAAGGGACAAGAACTAGCTAATACCTCCTTCAAAGCGCCTCTGAATTTAACATGCAAAATACACAAATAGAAGTGGAATTTAAACTGGTCTGTGGCAGTTTCAGTACACATAGGTAACTAGGTAGAAAGATCTGTGAGTACAGTTTATTACTGACAACCTTATCTTTTTTGTCAATATGCCTCAGTTTCGCAGATAAAAGTAATATCTTTTTGATGATAAGTATACTAAACGAGTAGAAGTTAGAGAATATGAAATGGAAAAGGAAATGTGCCTCTTGAGAAGAACATCCTGAAAAATCCTCAGGTGTCGATGTACTGTTGAAATGCAAAAAAAAAAAAAAAACCCACATGTGAGAGATTACAATTCTTTTGGGTCTTCTTCCAGCACTATTTATTCATGAAAAGTTCTCGTGTGCTAAAGATTCCCATGAGTGAATAGAATGGGAATGGTTTAGCTCTGCTCATTAGAGTCTTTGGGGGAAAAAAAGCGTATCTCAAAAATCTAGCAGATTGTGGTTAGTATGTTTTCCAAAGAAAAAGTTTAGGGAGAAAAATGAATGAGATAATCCCAGTGAACAGAGGCTGGCTAGTGTGGCAATTGCTGCTTTATGAATGTAAGTTCAGGCCTAAAGGTTTAGATCAGATTTTGTTGAGAGAATACAGAATAAATCTACTACTAGTAAGCGTTCATGTTGCAGCRTCTTAGCCCCACTCACACTTTAGGTTAACAAGCATTTTCCAAATAAAAGGCATGAAAACAATCATGTTGCAATGTCCTTCCCAAACCTGCTCTAAGGTGAGGGGCAGTGTGAACCCCCTTATAGATGATGCAGTTCCCAGGGGCCTCACGCAGCTCAGCTGGAGGCGATCACTCGTGACCAACTCTCCAGGGCTTATGTGTCAGTTTTCTTACTTAAATTATTACTTTGACATCTTCAATACAACCTGTCAGATGAAAATCTACATGTGTACCTTTTAATAAAGTGTATATTGTGTAAGAGAAAGGATTACTGCATCTTTAGTACTGCTGCTAGATGAAAAAATGACACTTCTTATCAGCATAAGTTGTCCAAGACCGACTTCRCAATCCTGCAATCAAAATCACTTTACATCCACTCTCCTATGGTGATGATATTCTTATAATTTCATTTTAAAATGATTTTGGTTTCACTGTCAGTTCTTATAAAACTAACAAAAACATTTTGTCATGGTGAGTAACTCTTCCTGGAGGGATGAACAATACAAAATTATTTGACATTGGTCTTTTAAACTGTCCTCTCCCCTTGATGTGATCTCTTAATGGAAAGGAGTTAATTTTATTTAGTAACATAAATTATTAGACCTTTTCTATGCTGTTGTTTGGGGTAGTAAAAGATGAAAAGAAAACAACAATTTGTATTGTGCAGAGAAATTACCTTCCTGCAACTCAGCTGCTTGCACACCGACCAGTACTTTACCAGCACCCTCATATTTATTAAGTGAAAGTARCTCTGTCTCAGAGACATCAGGGGTGGGAACCTGATGAAAAGAAAGGCTGAGAGCAAACTGAGTGCAGGGAATATCTGAACTAGAGCCTCATTTTCTGGGCTCATACTCCTAAACCTT